ACGAAAACATTGTAAAAAGCACTGCATTTTGGTTGTCCGTTTGGAAAAAGTGGTGTTAAGAGAAGGGAATTGCCGAGGAAATCGAAAATTAGGAGCCGACCCAGCTCAACACTTTGCTCGAGCGATCCAACGCCGAAATTTAAAACAAACATGGTTAAACCTCGGAAACGACGATTCCATTTCATTCGGACACAGACTGAACAATTCCTTGAACTGTTTAGCAGGACTTTGAACTTTTTTGCACCTTAAAGATGTGAAGATATCATTGCATATTATTGTTTTGATCGTACGCACGGTTTGAATAAATTATTTTTTGCACTTGATGCGCGCGCTTTGCTTATGTTTAATTATGATAGACCATCTCGTATTTTTCCATGTATATTATTAACACGTAATCACATAATTTTTTCTCGTGCAATTTGGAATAAACAAGCACTTGTTAATTTTTCCAAAGACCACAAATTGCAAAATTTTGTTAGTCTTTGAAAAAATTTACTGGTGCTTATTTATTCCAAATTGCACTCGAAATCATGTGATTACCTATACGAATAATCGATGCGTTTTATAATGAATGAAAGCCATATTGCGAAATAGTGGTCTCCTAAAACTTTGCAGGATACGTTTTTCGTGATCTAAAAACTCTTGGGTGCACCTAACCGAAACTAATCGTGTTGTTGTGGTTTTTAGTTCAGAAGGCCCTTGTACAATAATCGTTGACCCATGTCGTCGTTGTGCGAACTAATTTTAGCTCATCCTACGGAGAAAAATTTTGCAATATCCTAAAGAAAATCTCTGCGAACTCAACATATTGAACGCACCATCTTGTACAGGAAACATATGTTGCAACGATGTGTTGCGACATCTTTTGGTAGACCCAAATGATTAGCAGATAATCTAATTTTTTACAAAGCATGCTACTATGTGGTATGGCTTTCAGTTTCGTTCTTTTTTAAGTGTCTAATTGTGTTTGTAATTATGCATGCTTGGCTGAAAGCATAATTGCGGTATCTGTAAACACTTCTGTGCGGTGATGCGGTGTTTTTTTGTTCTCATCAATATACGGAGCCCAGTTAGTGCCACCTCGTATTCTTCATTAACTTTTTTTTTCACGACTTCAACTTTTTTCTACGACCTCAACTCTCTTTTAAAACCTCAAGAAATTAATTAAGAACACAGTCGAATTTCAGAAGTAAAAATGTTAAATTGAATGATATCGTGATAAGCATTCATGCTGATTGACGTGGGTAGGAAATTTGATCTCTTGTAGATACAGCATTTCTTTTCCATTTTTTCTCATGTAAAACTTCAAGTTAAAGAAAAAAACCTAATGCATGCATCACCTGCTACTTTCGATATGCTGCTGTCATCCACAAACCTAACTTTATGTTGTCAGGTATGAGATGACTTTATCCCTTTGAAATTGATCTGAAAAAGACACAAAACACCAAATGTAAAAAGAGAACAAACCTGAATGCTTCTTTTTTTTGTAATAAAAATCATTAAATAGTGAAAGACCCACTTTGAAAGAATATTTAGCCTTCACTGAAACTAATTTTTTTAGTTGCTCCTGAGCTGAACTTTTTTTTCTGGTCTAAATTATTTCGTCCTCTTTTTTGTTTCTGAGAGATATTCGAGAGCTTAACGATTTTAATATGACATGGTATGGTAATTAATTTCGCCTTGAAATGTGTAGAGAGCATGGAATTCGTTCCATATCTTGATGGTTCGTCACCACGACAATGGGATAATTCTAAAAGCTAATGCCCTGAAGTAAATTGGGTCCTTACTCAGAAGACAAAATCGAACCGAAGAAATTGTTTAAGTTCTGTGGCATCATTTTTCAGCGTCTTTTTACATGCAAGTTAGTGCGTGGCTCGTCGAAAGTTAATTTCTAAAAATGAAAATTATACTCTAAAATAGTTATTAATTAGACGATATGGAGCAGAATTAGAGAAGTTTCAAATGCCTATTAGTTCGTTTTTATTGAAAGCCGTGGATTTGACCGGCCTTTTTTTGTTAATCTATTGCACTTAGTCTGCACTTAGAAGAATGTGGAAAATTCTTTACGTCTATTGTATCACACATGCTAATTAACCTTACTACCATTTTTCTCAGCAATACTTCTCTGATAATGTAATGTTTCTCCCGAACTGAACTTTTAAGTCTTCTGAAATTTGTTTCCCCGCAATGTGATGTAGATATGTAAAACTGCACTGAAATCTAATTGTCTGTAAGGGTTTAAGTTTTGCGTGATCTGTTAAGTAAAATGAGACGACGAGGTTGTAGCTGACACTTAAAGAAGAGACACATCTCCGAAGAGAAGGCTACATTTTCATACATAACTGAATAATAAACTGCTCTTCTGCATAAAAAGCCTAAGACATCAATCTTATTCAGCTAGCTTACTGTTCCTCTCATGGGGACTCTAGATCTGGAGATCGGGAGATCCAGCAGTAAATGTAAGTTACGGTGTGTGTTTTTCTCTCCTTTCTTATTTTGAAGGAAAATATCTACAACATCTCTTTAGTGCTAATTTATAAAAATATTTTTGACATTTCTTTATTGTTGATCATTCCTCTACAATGCACCGCCATTTAGCTTTGTAGCAATTACACTTGATAAGGAATCTAACTTATTTATCCGTTTTTCCCCTAAAAAGGATAAATTGAAGAAACAATGGTTATACGGAGGGCGGCCAGTTCGCTGATAATCTCCGCATTTTGGCTGCTTTCACTCTACTCCAGGTCACTCTTTGCTGGTAGGCCCCTTTTTCACGCCAAACATAACCTCTCAAAATGAAGGATTTTGAATCCTCTTACAAGACTGTTTGAATCTTCAGATGTTGGACTATTTTTACGGTTTCTTTACCCTACTTCAAATGAATCATACGTAGCCTTTCAACGTGAAGAATTTTCAATCTTTTACAAAACTGTTCGAATCTTCAGATGGGCACATAGACGATGCTTCCTACCTCACACGCTCAGAAAGAGTGGATGGCAGAAGGGAAAAGAGAGATCTTTCGACCTTTGAAAAGGTTTAATTTTAACTAGTCTTATTTTCTATCATTAATTTATTTTCTCTATTTGCAGTTTCATTGTAAGTTTTGAACTGGGGCTTGAAAACATACAACTTGTCTTGTTTGCGTGACAATAACATCAATGGGAATATTTTTTCTCGGAGCCTTAATGAGTGATGATCAATCATTTTCTATCATGTTGTTACAGGGAGGTCACGTGGATACTGCCTCATATCGCTTGGCTGCTTTTGACAAGGACTGGACCCTGGATGTAAAACGAAATAAGTATGTTTTATCGTGCGTTTTATTTTCATATTTCTTGAGACGAACTTGCGAGCAAGATAGGAGGACTGATTTATTATTGTTTGTATCTAATTCCTTCGTTTCTCCACTTTCTACTTATTTTATTTGTCTTTCCGATCATTTCTCATTTTATTGATTCACTAACTTATCTATTTATTCTGTTGAAGTAGCAGCGCTGTATCAATATATGTTTAGCGTTTGCGGCGACCAAAAGTTCCAAGGGGCGTCGCTCCAAAACGCGGTTAACAAGGTGCTAGGGACTATTTTACAGATCGAGATAACAAACCAAAGTTGACTGTTTGATCTTTATTCTTGAAAAGCAATCAACCACGAACCACAATGAACGATGAAAAATCACGATCAATTGCACAATCAATCAATCTATCGATCGTAAACTGAAACAACAATGCAACGAAGCTCTATCAATATAATGAAATGTCGCGGAACGCATAATCAAAGAATCGCGTGTAAAGAACTGGGCCTAAACGTCGATAAAGAGATTAAAAATGACAAAGAGCAATGCAAATAAAACAGTACAAAGTGCAAAAATTTCTATACAAATTACTAGAATTTTAGGTGGCTGGATAACAGCCCATTGTTCTTATCTAGATGGTGGGCGTTCACTTGCATTTGGTACAATTTTGGCCTTAAAATCTTAAATCAATCGTGAATACTGCAATACAACGGAATATCTGTTCGTATATTATCGCCCAACACTGAAAGGGTAGACTGGAAAAAACATAATGACAAAAGTACTCACATATAGGTCCCGCTTGTGCCAAAGGTTGAGGAAACGAGAAAGAGCGAAAGTTTACCAAGACAACTCAAAACTTAAGAAGAACTGATTAAGGGGATGCTAAACCCGTCTTTTATATGCGCGTGGTGACGCCGAAAGGTCCGATTACAAAACCAATAGAAATGCAGAAAAAACAGATAAACATTGTAACTATGTATGTATCTAAGATCATTCTGAAATTAGTGATCTAATCAATAATCAATAATAAAAATAAGCCTTCTGGCTAGTGTCCTTAACAATATGTCTATTCCTTTTTTGCCAGGGAACTTATTCCTCCATCTTTTGCTGTTCGTACATTTGCAAATGATGGGTCGGAAATTATTCAAAAGGTACAGCATTCATGCCTTTTCTCGTAAAAGACTGCCTGTGGTGGTGGAAATAGTTTTCATGAACCAAAACAGCTATAGGAAGAGTTTTTTCTCCAACAGAGTCGACTGAGAAAACACTTTAAGGATTTTGTCGACTGAGAATGATCATCGACTCTGATGACGACTTCTGCTAATGTTGTTCAAACGTCAGTCACCAACACAGCTAACAATCAATCCCTAAACTACGCTCTCCCAAACGATCAGGATACAGGATCGAAATTCTGTAGTGTTAAAGAAAAAAAACCAGACTCCATAGGGACCTTAAATTCTACAAAACGTATTGTGCCTGACAATATCATATTCAACCAGCATTTTTCTCTTGTATTTCTCAGGGCGTAGCTGATCATTGTCATTATCAGGGCTCCATCCGGGGTTTAAAGGATTCTTATGTTGTCCTTAACACTTGTTCCGGACTGAGGTACCGTTTTTTTCCTTTTTAACTATATAACTATACAATATGTATTTATTCCCTTTTTGCCGTAGTTTTTTCATAAGGAATAAGCAATGAGGAAAAGGAAAGAAGAAAAATAAAAAAGAACTGTGAAATTTTTCCCTACAGAAAACAAAGTAGCCCGAGAGAAAAATTAGAAACCTTCCTTTATTCGATTATCTACTTCCTTCCAACGTGGTAATATGCAGTGTACATGCAGGGCAATGCAACGATCCCATATTTGCTACAAAAGGAAATTCATTTGCCACTCAATTATTAATATCATTTGTTCTCGACAGAGGAATAATAGATGATGGCCGTGAGACATTTTACATCAAACCTGAGATTGGAAAAGAAGTAAGTTAGAAGAAAGAAAATCAAAAAGCTGAAGCAAAATTATGCAGAATTAGACCAGCTGTGAGAAACATTATGATCCTTTCTCCTCTCCTGTCAATACTTCCTCCAAACTCGATGTTTTCGTACACTCTCAGTCTCTAAGTTAACCTTGGTTTATATTCCGATAAAAATTTTCCTCAAATTCTTCTTTACGCAGTTTAGAATTTTCCTTGCCTTTAATTTCAGGAGCATGGAATTCACAGAGTTAGCAAAGCCAAAGAAGACGAATTTAAAGACATTGTCGATAAGTGCGGTAAAGGCGAAGCATTTGCCTTTCATTTGAGATACTTTTATTTCATTTGTGCCTTCCATCTGACAATTTTGCACCTATGTTAAAAACTAATACCTCGTGCTTAACTATAATGTCATGTATATAGAGTAGCTACTTACTTTTTGTTCTTAAAAAAACATTGCATTCCTGCAGGAAACAAGGAAACACAGGCAGACTCTCGTTCTACGAACGAAAATTTAGGCCCATTCTCACGGGTTAGTGTATAAGTTAAGATAAACTAAGTTCTTCATTCATATAAACTTAGTTTTAGAGAAATGAATAAGTAATTCAATATATAAATAAAGAGAAATACTTACTTTGGTTAATAAATAAATACAGATGGATATAAATTAACTAAAAAGTAACAAAAAGATACTCAAAGAAATGAACTTTTTTCCTGAGAAACAACTCTACAACTACATTAATGGATGATTAAAATAATCAACAAATAAACAAATTGTATGACGGTATTAATGAACAAGAACCCTATCGGAGGACACATTCTTTATAAATTGCGGGTTATCCATGAAAGTGTAGATGCACTTCAGTGAATGAATGAATAAGAAGATCTAGTCTGACCCAATACATAAAGATCTATAGCAAATCCTTAAGATATTTTCATCCGATAAAACCATCATCATCATCATCATCTTTTATTTGCCTTATTTGCACAAATTATTCGTCTTAAAACTAGGAAGGATTGACGAACGAGTGACTGAAACAGGAAGAGAGTTCCAAATTTCAAGACCATTGTGAGAGTAAGAGCATATCAATTCAAAAAAATGATGATGATTTGTGGTAATCAAAGATATTTGTTTATTTCTTTCATTTAGATAAGACGAAGCATATCGGGTGACATCGATGAATTCTACAAACCATTTCTGACAACAGATGAGACACGATACAATGAGCTCGCGATTTGTGTGGATTTTGAAATGGTTATCATTATATATTACTCTAAACTTTGACCAGCCCCTTTTTCTGCGATGTTACTCACACCATTCGAGAGAAATTGCTGTACATTATCTTTTTTCGCTTACATAGTAGGCTGAATTGTACCCGCCTTTTGATTGGTTCTTCGTCGTGGTCTATAGGGGGAAAAAAATAGATGACGTTACCATTTAGATTCACAAGGAAGATAAACTGTAATGTTCAAAGTACTACTTGATGATAATGATTAGGGAGACTCGAAAGTATATTTCTGTCGCAGTCTTTGCTTAGAAAGTAAAGGTGTCCTCCATACGAAAAACGCTTGAATCCAAATCCCAGAGTCTAAGATCTGAATAATGGGTCGTGAGAAATACAAATACAAACTGATAAAAAGCCTTTGTTTGTTTAGATTAGTCTGATGTGGTTTCGTATAGCAATACCTCGCCAATGATTGGTTTTCATAAACAGTAGTAAAGGAATGTTGTATTTAGGCGAGAAGATCTTTATAAGCTAAATATCTCACTGTAATCATTAGCGTTAGAGGGCTAATTATAAGCCAGGATTTATAATTTAGGAAAATGTTTAATATATTTAGCTCGTAAAGGAGGTATACTGACTAAATAATAGCGATTCAAGTTTCTTGCGATTTACTAGAATATCACTACTGATTTGAATTTCCTAAGATTGATCATGTCATCTTATTTCAACAGTACAACAATCATAACAATGATACCAAAGCTATCACAGACCGAGTTACTACTTTAGTAAATGCTGTTGATGCGGTAAGAAATCTTAAAACGTTTCTTGATTACTTTTATTTTTTCCCATTTATTTTTCGTTAAAAGTAAACACAAGAGTTACAGATATCAAGAAGAACTTCGATTTAAATCGATTCTAAACTCCGAAAATATATATTGCGTTAAAATATTTCATTACAACATTTCTCTATTATTTTAGTTTTAAAAATCCATCTCAAAAAGGTTGCCTCTATCTCGTCCATGAATAGTGAAGCACTTTTAATAAGAGAAATGTTTAGATTTCTTAAAAGTATTTCATCTATTAAGGTGACATCAAACATTTCGCAGCCTTTTTGAAATCGATTGGCGGAAGCATACTTGTATTAAACAAATGTTCCAGGGCTTGATGTAGCATCCTCTCTCAGCTGCATCTCTCCAATGTAAATATTTCCAAGAGAATTGCATCATTTCAGGTGCACAGATTCGATTCAGATTTAGAAAAAAAGGTGGCTCTGAATCTACTTGATTAAAATTTTGCATTTTTAAATTTTTTTCTTTAAAAATGAATGATTTTAAGCCACTATACATTTCATGTTAAAGCTTTAGGGCT